AGTCGTGCCAATTAAACAGTTAAGGTATATATACTACAAACAGCTAATTGACATTATAACCAGGAGAATGACTTTTGTTCCAAAACCAATTGGCAAATGTTATTATTTGCACTTTACAAAGTTGTTTTGGATCCTTACACCACCACGTCTAATTCCTGATGTTTCTAATGTCTATAACTGTATTTACCTACTGATTTGATGGAACATAAGGAAGATAAACCGTGGCAAGTTGTGGTGGAGGTCACATTCTTGTCGAAAATCCATAGAATCTACCGTTTTTTAAACCCTGGTTCAGTCATTGGTTTCAGTTTGTTGATTCACCTGTTTCATTTTTGTCGTAATAGTATGGAAAAAATGTCCTCGGGACCCAAAAATGTTACACAACCAGTATATTTGCAGATGGGTTCATTTTTAAGGATTGGTACAGATGAACTGACAAATTATTCAATGAGTTGACACAACCCACCGAATTTCAATGAATGTATTTGAGAATTAAACACATGTCAGAATATAAGTAGTGAATAGTGTATGCTTGTCGTAACACGTGTAATTGCAGGTTTTATATATGTTTGTGGAAAATTACAAGGTTACCTTGACAGTCTTTATAAAAGAATGAACGATGTTTTAAATGCTTTTCTAATACTTTTGAGTTTACAGTGTTTGTGTTTGGCGGACAAACATTATCGGACAATACGTTACTCAACTTTCCGCACTCTTTAAACTGATATAAAATCAGGGGTGTTAATAATTCGTGTCATATCGGATCCCCTTCTGACGTTGTCGCCATGCTCCTCTGGTTCAAATTCTCATTAGCTCTCATCTACCTTTCCGCCTGCAAGGATGGTGCACTTTCATTTGTCTTCAAACCACGTAAGTTTTGATTTGTGTATTTTGTATGCAGAAGATAACAACAATGAACAAACGTTTAAAAATGATATAGTGCCGAGGGTTTCTTTGATTATATCTTGTTCAATTCAAGCGAAAAGACCCGGTTCATAATCATAAGGAATGTTTTCTGTTGTACCATTCCGATTACATCATTAGCATGTGAGGGGCGGTGGAGTAGCCTAGTGGTTAAAGCGTTCGCTCGTGACGCCGAAGACCCGGGTTCGATTCCCTACATGGGTACAACGTGTGAAGCTGATTTCTGGTGTTCGCCGCCGTGATATTGCTGGAATATGGCTAAACACCATACTCACACCATACTCACTCACTCACTTCCTCATTAGCATGTGGTTAAGCATTTCACTGTCTCATGACCGAAGCACCTTCCCCTTCTGCCGGCTCTTCTCGGCTCATTCGGCCCGGCTCGGTTTCACGATGTTCTTTAGGGCACGACTGAGCATTTCGTTTCCCATTATTTGTATTCTCAGTCCAATCACATACTTGGATCATTGTTTTGATTTAGGTTCGTGTGGGTGGGCAAGTGTATTCATTTATTTAAGATCTTTAGCGGTTTTTCACGCAGCAGCGGGTTTATCAAAATCAAGTTCAATGTAGATATTCCTTGATATGTACTCATGGCAACCGAACAGTACATGTACATAACTGCTTGTACCTTGGAGTGATACTAACCTGCAACCTCTTGATGTGTATAGTCCTTCACACTATCATCTGCCATAGGGAGACTTTTGACGTAAAATTCAGTCACAATTATCTCGGCTTATCTTGCTTTACTTTATTAGCTAATATTTCACCTAGTCAGTAATTCCAGGTGTTATATACAACAGATTTGCAGAGTTAATTGTAATAAATATACACCCTGTAAATATTTGATTTAACGTGCATCATGTAAATATGTTAAAATTCGAAATACGTTTCGATTAGGGGTGGTGATGGGGTGGTGTGGTGTGTGGTGTGGTGGTTTGTGTTTAGGTTGTGTTAAGGTTTTCAGACGACAGCTACTTTCATGTGTTTTGACTGTAAACTTGTTTAGATAGAACCCACCAAATGTGTAGGATTTAAACACATCCCTAATCGTGCTTAGATTAGGGATATTGTGTTTAGGCGGTGTTTAGACTGTGCGACGCTGTTTATTTCATGTGTTTTGACCCTAAACTGGTTTAGATGGAATAAATAAAATGTTTATTCAGTACAGGATCTATAGGATCTAAACCCATTTATACATTGTGTTTTACATGGTGTTTAGACTGTAAGTTTATTTCATGTGTTTGTTTAGATTATGGGACATTGTGTTTAGGCGGTATTTAGACTGTAAGATGCAGTTTATTTCATGTGTTTCGACCCTAAACTTTTTTTATATAGAACACTCCAAATGTGTGCTCAGTTTAGGATTTAAACACATTCCAAATATAAAACGTCTTCAGATCTAAACATTGTAAGCTCGCTGGTATCACATGGTAAACGTGCGTCATTCCGACCTTCTACCCATTTTGTAGCTCATACTTCTGTTATAGTTACCGACAATGTGTTGGGATGTGTTTAAGACAGATCTCGGTACAGAGATTGTTTTTGGTTCAGTTTCGTGAGCCAGAATAATTTCACTTTCTTTTTAAGCCTCAACTGATTTTGTCATCAACAATTCATAGTTAATTTAAAGTATGAAATATTTTTCTATTCCATTTTTCAGCATGTGAAATTCAGCAGCATACTTGCTATGACCAGAGCGAGTGTCCACCGACTACCGAGAGACTGCAATCCCTTTGTTTCAATAACGACATCTGTTGCGTTAGACTTCAAGGTATAGTTATATTTATTATAATATGTATGGAAATATAATAAAAAAAATATGCGAACTACCACTCCTTTCGTATCTAAGTGGAGTTTGATTGAGTGTTTATTGTTAACAAAGGCATGCAGCAATATTCCAGCTGTATGGCAACCGTCTGTAAATAATCGAGTCTGGACCAGACAATCCAGTGATCAACATCGTGAGCATCGTTCTACGCAATTGGGATACGATGACAGGCGTCCACCAAGTCAGCGAGCCTAACTGCCCGATCCTGTTAGTCGCCTCTTAAGACAAACATGGGCTACTGAAGACTAATTCTAAACCTGGATCTTCACGGGTACCTAAGTGGCGTTTAATTAAGATATGACTTCAGTTATCATTATGATATGCCTATCGAATCAATAACATATTTGTTCTGTATCACATTTCAAACCTTTTTCTTCTGTTCTTTTTAGTATGTTGAATAGATCTTGGTCGCATGCATGTGTAATATTTTTCAAACTGATTTACACCTCGAACTGATTAGAGCAATTGCCCTCTGTTGATTGTGTTTTCTGATTGTTTTCTTCATCAATACACAAATAAAAGAGTATCGCAACACCCAAATACATATGCTGTCTCTTTGTGTCAATATATGTTCTACAAAGAACAGTGAGAGCAGCATTTGTTTACACTAATAATATATTCAAATATGGATGTTGCGATACTTTTTTCTTGTGTATATGTTCAGATTTTGCATGAGTTTTTTTAAAAGGGGAATTTGTGTTTAAGTTAGCTATTCAAGCATCAGGTGGAGACCTTGTTTTGACTAGGTCTTCAGCACTTTGTTACTTCTTGTGCAAGGTAACTTTACTAAACCGGGTTGTCAGTGATTTGTAATCTACACTTACTGTCTGGTTTGATGACAGGCTGACTTGATACATCTGGATATTGTTGATAGTGGCGAAAACAAATCAAAACCAACTCATCCTAAAAGTGTAGGTCGCTCCATCACCCGCGAATACAGTTCATCTGTGTTTTAGTCGCTAGTTTTCAGTAACGAACAGTACATGTACATATGGCATATTCTCGTTCAAGTCACCTCGCAAGTCTCGTTCAATTCTCGCTTAAGCGAGATGGAAAATAGCTAGCGTTCAGTCCAGTGAGGGTCCAGATTACAAGCAGACGAACACTTAGTTTTTCTCAAATTTTTATTGGACAGAAACAAATTATTCTTTTTAAATTGAAAAAGAGCCCCAGTGAGATGGCAGATTCAACTGGACCCGAGGAACACTTTAACACTCCAGAAAGGGCTGAGCGGAATGGAAAATAATATGGTTCATGAAATGTGAGATAGACTAAAGATGACATGGTACAGAGGGCAATACTTCTCGTACAAAATCTGCCCAAGCCCTGCAGGAATTTGCTCTTGAAATTGCTCGAAAGTCAAGCAATGGTAGGTTAGACACAGCTTGTGTAGACCTCTTCTAAGATGTGAACAGATGTACGTCACTTCCACCAAGCAAAGGGGTCGTATATGTTCATGATTGATGGGGAAACGTAGTGTATAGAAAACCGTTGGAGTATTAACCATGTTTGTATTCTGCCCAGTTGAAATTGGGATGAAAACAAGTACAAGCACAAGACGTTATCTATTGTAGAGTGCTCCACAAACCCTTGTGTTAATGGAAAATGTGTCGTTAAGGACGGCGTGAATACATGCATCTGCGATCCCTTTTTTTCTGGTGACAACTGCGACATAGACGGTAAGTTTGTCCAAGTTTGGCGAAAATAGCATTACTCAATTTGTCGCTAGATTATATTACTCTGTCAGATACTTACCTTGTCATGCCAGATGTCCGAAAATATTTTACTGTTGGATATGCCAGTGTACTCCGTCAAAGCTACAATTTGAAGATATTAAATATACTGAGGGAAACAAATAAGGGAACACCACACCATCGTAGTGTTCCTATATTTATTCTCAGATTTTCACCCATAGTGCGATACAAAGCTTGTGAAGAACCCTGGAAATGAATAAAGGAACACTTGTACTTTTATATGTTCCCTTTTTTGTGTCCCTCAGTTTATATTGGTCCAGGCCCATCTGCAGCCGGCAAAATTTTGAATATTGCTGACGACGGCAAAAACAAAACAATGGGGATTAATGACATCGACAGATCCAATGGGCTTGATTTTTTGTGATTATGTGATGCTTGTAAAGTGCCTGTTCTCCTGACTTCCGTCACTTCAAACAGCAACATTAATTGTAAACCTATGGAGACATTTGATCCCATTGATGTACTGGGAGATGTTGATTTGTTTCCAGTCTGTAACCCGAGTCCATGTGGAAACCATGGGTCCTGTTCGTACGATTCCAATGCAGCAGGATACACATGCTCATGCCGAGATTTCTATTCTGGTCCAAACTGCGAAAGTACGTAACTTTAAGTGTTTCGTTGATCATCGTAGTCGAGATGAATACGTCATGCATGATGCAATGTTAAAATGGCCATGTACGAAACCTTAATGGCAATAATGACTAAACAATGAAGAAGAAAATTTTTTGTTACAAAACCGGGCCATTATTCCCAGGGTTCTTAATTTTCCGGGTAAGCACTGGGCATGTGCACCTGACGAGGTAATTGCGCGCTATTTATGATTATTATTACACTGCAGTAACAGAGAAAGTGAACTAATGCAGTACATGATCTCTGACGTGGGGCCGAGGACTAGACCATCAAACAGATGCAAAAATCACCATCGAAGTTGCATTACTGATTCTAAATAATCGAAAGTTGACTTTCAGAAAAGAATATGAAACTACATTCGATTTAAGGCTTGTTAATTGCATTCATATCAAAATGCCTTTATTCATGACTTAATCAATGAATTAAGCAAATATATACACAAAGAACTTAAGCACCCCCTCACGATTGAATGACCCAAATGTTTACCCTTTGGGGCACATCTGGGTCATGACTGGTCGTCGTGTGCAACAAAGGGATCCTCCTGTACAGAACCTGGCCCAACTGAAAGCTACTTTACAGGAGAAATGGCGTAGACTGCCCCTTCAGAGGATCAGGAGGCTGACAGGGGGTGTGAGGAGGAGAGCCATACTGACACTTGGAGGTTACACTCGGTATTGACCTTGAATTGTGTAAGACACGCAAAATGACATTTCGAATGTTATCATTCGCCATTACGTTCAACATTAAACATTCCATGGCCATACATGTACAGACATGGTTTTGTACGATAATCAATATTTTTCATGAAATCAACATGGCTTCCAATCATTTTGTCGTTTTTATGAGTCAAAGGATCGTACGGGTCGGAAAAACTCATGTTTTCCATCGTGGTCACCACGAGAAGTTATATGTCCTTGTTGAAAACACCGCGTCCGTGGTGTAGTGGTTAGAGCGTCCGCCCGGAGAGCGGAAGGTCGCGGGTTCGATCCCCGACGGCGTCATACCAAAAGGCGTTAAAATATGGTACTTGTTGCTCGCTGCCTGGCGCTCGGCATTGATAGGACTGGTCGGCTCGGAGTCAGTATAATCAGAGACCATATATGGTCTCTGGTATAATGTGTCCGAGTGGGGTATTCATGCTTCACGGCATGTTATCTCAGTGGGCTAGCACTATAAAACCAGTTTAAGTCTGGGCTGAGTACAAGCAGCCGCACATGCACATACACGTACACATGATTGAGATATTCTCAAGCACGACGTTAAACCCAATTTCACCTCACCTCACCTTGTTGAAAACCTATCTTTGCAAAATACAGGGGGGCGCTTAATTAAGTTCTTTGTGTATATATTTGCAGAAAGTGCACTGGGTACCCTTATTTACACGTGTAAGTATAAGTGAATCAACAATCGCAAAGTCAGCACAAGCAGCAGAGTTTCATATTTCTTTCTATTGATGTGGCCAGAGAAGTTAATACGTATGACGTGGCATTGGTTTCTCAGGCATACACCATATTCCCCCCAATGCCACTGATCTTCCTTCTTCCTACATAGCAAGGGAAACTATACCATCTTGCCGATCCCATGTAAAGTAGACGTGTCGTTCATTAAGATTCCAACTGTTTTAGCCCCTCCCCCTTGTGGAATGCCGCTGACAGGACGGTTCCTCAATGGAGTCGATGACGTAGCACCTGGCAATCCCTGGCTCGTCAAAGTCGGCGCGGTTTCGGGACCATTGCCATGTAGCGGTGTCATCGTCGACCTTGAATGGATAGCTTTGGATGCATTTTGCCTCGTCAGAGTGTAAGTATAATCAACACTTACGTAATACACTATTGAATTACTGCTCACGTGGTCGTAATACTGCTGCAATGGAAGGTTTGCTGTGTTATTTTAAAATGAATATCAGTGTGTGCTTCCGTGACGTGTGGGCAGTGAAAAGGCTTAAAAATACTACGCTGAACGTTTGAGGGAATGGAACCTATTAAGTTTGAATTTGACTTGGACCCTGTTTTTTATTAAAAAACCCGTTCATCTGGACCCTGTTTGTTTAATTTACACAAACATTTGGCTGTTCTTGTTATAACGGTCATACATAGCTAAGTTACATTGAAACAAACCATGCTATTTCTGGACCTTATTTGTCACAAAATTACAATGAAAACTCCGTTCACTCTTCCTGCAATGGACCCTGTTTGTCCTAAGTTACATTGAAATCCCGGTTAATCCCTTCATCGGGTTTTGGATCTGGTGCGGGAAGGTGGAAGACATTGTTATTATACCAAACGGACCGTGACGCGTGCTGCATATGAAGTAGCTTTGTAGCTGGGACAACTCTCTCTGTCGGTCTAAATCAGATATGTTACGTGTGTTTGGACATCGCACCCTAAACCATGACAGTTCCTCCGCCGAATTCGTCGACCGAATGCAATCAGATGTAAAACGTTCATTTATCCAACGGTAAACACGCTGTCTTCAATCTCGTCGGTGAAGACAAAATCGTGATTCATCACTAAACCAGACTCGCTTCCAGTTTCTAATGTTCCAGTTCCAGACTCTACGACACCACAGCAAGCGATTGCGCCGATGGGAGTCACTCAGAACGGGGGCTACAACTGGCCTCTTGGTCGAATCCCCACTTCACGCAATCGACTCCTGATAGTTTTTCGCTTTTCGGGTGATCTTGGGCTTAATTGGTCTGCAGGAAAAATCCCATAGGCGAGATATGGTGCTCTGATGAACGTTAAAATGTCGGGCAACTGCAGACTGCGTCTCCCCAGCTTCAAGGCGGCCTATGGCGATGTTTCGATTGGCGGCACTCAGTCGTGGCATGCTGATTTCCTCTTTTCCAAGCAAATACGAATGACAAAATTAAACACAACGTTTGCCTTTTTATAGTGATCGATACCGCATGCTTACTTGCACGTGCATTTATTTTGGATGTTTTCTTGGCGAATATTTCTTGAAACGCTTCTAAAACATGGGGAAAAAAGTTAAAATTGACGCGCTTTGGCGCTCAGGCTGTTTCAATCACACACATAAGACGTTTTGGAAAGAAATAGTATATTTGTATTGTTTTTGTTGCAGCTACGTGAGTACAATATTCTCAAAAACACCTATGCGTTTCTTTTTCTTGAAAAGTGTATACCCAAGGTAACCTATGTGTAATGTACAAAGCAATATCTACGGGGCCAGGAACGCTTAAATCGTGTGTCATGTAGAAGACGAAGAATCTTAATATTACGACATACGTATTTTATTCAGATAATACCGATGGACCTTTGCATCGTTCAGTTTCTTCAATTCATTAATTGGTTTTCAGTTGCGGGCTTGCTTGTGAAGTGGTAATCGGGAGCTACGATGGAGCCGCCCCCGACGGGACAGAACAACGGAGGTTCATTATTGGCTATAGTGTTCATCCATTAGCCGACCCAGACATCGGAGGTAACTTTATTCACAAATACTACAGATAGTTAGTGCCGTTGTATGAAGTGCGGACCGGAAGTACCTGTCCAACCGGAAGTGAATGGGTAGTCATAAAATGAATTCAATGCAAAACATTTTAACTCGAAATACCAGCCTGGGTTTTAAGCCACATTTATACATGTAACAACTGGCTTTTACAGTTTGTGGAAATCCGGTAAATGCATTTATCATACAGTGGATAGCGTTCTCGGCAAGATAAAGCCAACGGATATTTGCGGTATCCTCAGGGGTCATACACGGATATCAATGCAAATTAGAGAGGTCAAATGCAATTTTTAGGAACTACTTTCACAGTGTAAAACAAGCATGGCATCACGCCCATCTATCGGCGATCGTGTCCGGATTGACGGCAGAGGTTACGGTACTGTCAGTGCTTTGATCCAAGACAATTCATGTCTGGTAATGATAGATGGAGTGGATTACGAAGCGAAGACATATTTTAATATGCTTACGAAGATACCGGTTCCAGTCAGTGTTAGCAAGCATGCAGAACATGTCACGCGAACAATTAAAGTGCATTTGTTGTTCAAATGTTTAACTGAAGGTTTCTTAAGTTCCACACAAGTTTTTCAAACGTAAGCTAAGACTTGTTGACAACAGTACGTGTTTTAACATAAAAACATATGGGAACTAGATGACCCAAGGCAGTCAATTGAGTGATCAGTCGAATATTGTGTCACCGAGCTTGTGACGCAACGTATTACTACGCACATATATGTGACGTCATAGGTACCTGCGCACACTCCACGAAGTTTAGTTTCATTATTTGTGGCAATTGAAATCGCATTTTTCAAAATTATAAAATAAGAATGACATTGTATGATAAATAGGTTATCACACTCGTGTGTTTTGGGATTCATAATATCCTGCATTCGGAATAAACATTGTATTTAATATTTTTTTATTAAAGTCAGTTCTCAAATCAAGTGGGCGAAGGGCGCTGAGGTATCGTTAAATCCTTGTCAATGCTTGTCAGTTGTTCGAATTTTACTACGGTAAAGATCTGTCCGAACCATCCCAATGTTTGAAGAGTATATCAAAGTGTCTAACGTCTAGTACCTACATAACTGTAGACTTTCATACTCAGCAAGCTTACGATAGAGATAAGTATTGCGTAACACTTTAGGGTTACTTAAGTACAGTACAATACAATACAATACAATACAATACAACGTAGTTTATTAAAGTCGCACCATTTGTAAAACATGGTTTAAAATACAGCGTTTTGAATATTAAAACGTAAAAGTGCAAATTCCACCCACAAGGGTTATGAGAGACTGTTTTATAAAGTACTAAATACTTATAAAAATGGTGAAATGATATGTATACTATGTAGGTATAATTTAAAGATAAAAATAATATAAAATGTGTATGATATGATAAGACTGTTTCCCTAGCCTAGTATACTAGTAGTTGAAAAATTGATAAAACTAACTCTCTGCCCGGAGACGGAATGGCTGGTGTTTTGATCCCCTGCCACACAATGCCCAAAACACGTTAAAGTCACTGTGGTACTTGTTGTTCCCTGGCCTGTCACTCGGCGTTTAAGGGACAGCGCAAGGACTAGTCGGCTTGGAGTCAGCACACCGGGTGTGTGTGATATTCATATTTAACTTCGGTTGGTTGTTTTGTTTGTTGTTTAATGCCGCACTCAGCTATATTCCAGCTATATGGCGGCGTTCTGTAAATAGTCAGACAATCCAGTGATCAACAGCATGGGCATCGATTTACGCAATTGGGAACCGATGACATTTGTCAACCAAGTCAGCGAGCCTGACGACCCGATCCCTCTAGTCGCCTCTTACGACAAGCATGGGTTGCTGAAGACCAATTCTAACCCGGATTCTAATGGGTTTTTACCAAGGCATGGTATCTCAGTTGGCTAGAACTATATAGCCGGCAATAATTCGGACATGTGGAACCAGCAACATGTAAGTTACGTAAGTGCAGTTAACCCTCATTCATCGCACTTCAACTCTTTTACTGTTTTCTACTTTCAGCTTACGATGTGGCTTTGGTAAGACTTTCTTCCCCCATCACTCTGACGGAAAACATCAACGTAGTCTGTCCACCGTCTGATGTGTACAATGTATTCCGTGAACCGAGGACATGCAAAGTAGGAGGGTTTGGAAGAAAGGATCCCACTTGTACGTTCAGACAGTTTCAAATGAGTTTCCTTGAAGTAACCGAAATTTAATGTCTTCTTATAAATATTTTTGAATTAGTTTTAAATATGATGGTGAAAAGGGAGAGTGGGAATGTTTTTGCTGAATAGAACTGACATTTCCTTATTTTGAACTGTGTCGTCATATTTAGTGCTTCACAAAGAGAACTAAAATGATTACATTCTTAAGAAATGGGAGCGGTTAACGCCTGTCTGGTGAGTTTTGTTCCCATCATTATGAACAGTGAAATTTAATATATACACTCTGGGTCAAAAGAAACGATACCATATTATTGAGGCTAATTAATAAAAGATGACAAAAGATAAACAGAAAATCAATGTTGTAATTAGAAGACAAATAGGTGAGGAGCATGGAAAATCAAACTCATTAATCGAGGCCAATAATTGTTTGAGATAATTGCAAAAAAACACATAATATTCATATGTCCTGTATTCGATCACCCCAGTAAGATGAGATACGTCAATGTCTGTGACACAGAGACACTCCTGCGAGTCAATATCGAGTGTGGTCACCACCAGCATCGATGCAGGCTCTAACACGACGTCGAACAGATGAGGTCAGACGTCTGATCACGTGAGGAGGTATCGTGTTCCAACGTGCCGTCCGCTCTCCTATGCGTCGATGCATTCGTGTCCTGCCGTCAGGTCTGTTCAGGAGGTATCTGTTCTCATCAGTAAACAAGACTCTGCCCCATTGTCTGCGCTGCCAACCTTGAACGATACGTGCCCACTTCACACGTCGACGTCGATGGAGGCTCCTCAGCGCTACACCACGGTAGGGTCTGTAGGCTCGGATACCATGCTGACGAAGTCTCCTGGACACCGTCCTTCGGCTGATACGATGACCCAGCGCAGTCGATGCTGATGACGTCACAGTGAGGAATTGGTTGCGCAAATGCAGGGTACGCAAGTACCGGTCTTCAGCTGGGGTCGTGACCCGAGGTCTGCCACTCCTCGGCCTGTCCTGTGTCCTGCCTGTCTGTCTGTAACGGGTCATCAGCCTGGTTATTGTCAGTCGGTTACAACCGAAGATCCTGGCGACGTGATTGTGGGTAGCGCCAAGCTGGATCATGCCAATTGCCCTTTCTCTCTCTTCTTACGATAATCTCGGCATGGTCGCAAATGTAATCGTAAAATGTGAATGTCCATACCGAATATTTGTCACGTGTGTCATGTGTGCACGTGCACGAAACTATCGTGAATAAGTTCACTTTTCTGGGTTCTTGTTTTGCACGTGCATCACTGTTTCATTGAGTCAGCTTTGTTGCGTTCGGTTGAATGTTTCTAGCCATAAGTACTCAAAATATCAAAGTCCAAACACAAATTATCATTTTAAAAAGTTTGGTATCGTTTCTTTTGCCCCTGAGTGTAGTTCACAAAATTGAATAGGCTATATGTAAATGGTGAGGGAGAAGATGGTAAATGAGTGCCAACAGTGTTGTTGAAATAACATGGTGGGTAGTACAAGTATTTTATTTTATAACCCGTGAAGATCCCATGCTTATGCTAGGAGGCGACTAACGGGGTCGGGTGGTCAGGCTCGCTGACTTGGTTGACTCATGTCATCGGTTCCCAGTTGCGTAGATCGATGCGCATTCTGTTGAACATTGGATTGTCTGGTCCAGGCTCGATTATTTACAGACTGCCGCCATTTAGCTGGAATATTGCTGAGTGCGGCGTAAAACTAACCTCAATCACTCTATTTGACACATTGAACCATGCAGATTGTCGAAATAGCTAAACCAGGTATCATTTTCATAATATTTTGCTTCCTATTTTTACCTGCTTTAATCAATATTTTATCATGATTTTATTTGCATATATTTTATTTGCATAACCACGGACGCTACAATACGTTTTGAATAGCTCTAAAGCGACTTTTTGTGTATGAAGTCTATTCATATATCATCATATTGTCATCAGCCATATACACTATAAGACCACCCTGATGTGAAACATTTGCGGAATATTATCAAATGGTATTGTATTTCTAGATGTCATTGGCTCATTTGATACTGGCGTTCGTCAAGTTATGGATACCATCTTGATTGATGACAGCTTGTGCACATTTCTGAGAGGATCTCCCCTACCGGCTGGAAACCACTGCGGCTTTTTGCCAACACCTAATGCTGCAGCTTGCATCGTGAGTACCAACGAAATAGTAACTTTAACACTGGAATCTAAAAAGCTGGGTTCAAATCTGTTTAGTGTTTAGATCCTCCTGTCTGTGTATGTTCTCTTTATTCATGAAGAGTTTCTGCTATGTCAGAAAGACGATCCACACAACCTTTAAGACAGAGGAGCGGCGGGGTAGCCTAGTGGTTAAAGTGCTCGCTCGTCACGCCGATGGCTCGGGTTCGATTTCCCACATGGGTACAATGATTGGAGCCCATTTCTGATGTCTCCTGTTGTGATATTGCTGGAATATTGCTAAAGGCGGCGTAAAACTAAACTCACTTACTCACTCACTTTAAGACAAATAACCCACCCTCTGGCACCAGGGTAATCATCTTATTCGAGCTTCATGTTTATAATTAAATAGAACCCGCCTTAAATTGGGATTGGTTGGGCAGGTTCAGCGGCATGGATGATGACGAGTCATGGTTACCTCACCCAGAATCATAGGTTTTATGATAATGATCTGGACCTCTGTGAAATGTTCCCTATTCACTTCAGGGTGACAACGGTGGCGCCTTGGTCTGCCAGAATGACACGACAGGTGCCTGGTCATTTGAAGGAATTATATCCTACGATGAGGTTGTAGGCTCGTGCGGTAACCAGGTATACAGAGTCACCGACATGAATGCTGTTTGGAGCTGGGTGCAAGGCGTCATCACGGCACCGTCGGGCTGAAGGTCATGGCCACAGTTGCATCAACAGTAACAAACAGGGATATAGGTGTTGATGTCAGCATCTGTAACTGTTACATGACATAAACAAAATTGCCTGTATTGATGTGTTGGCCTCTGTGTTGGAAGGACAAAAGTGCGGACCTCTATTCCTAAAAGAGTCTCTAATGAATGTGTGAGTGACTTTAGTGTTACGCCGCACTCAGCAATATTCCAGCCATATATCGGCTGTCTGTAAATAATCGAGTCTGGACCAGACACTCCAATGATCAACAGCATGAGTATCGATCTGCGTGACTGGGGTACGATGAATGAGTGAGGGAGTGAATATAGTTTTACGCCGTTTTTACCAATATTCAAGCAATATCACGGCGGGGGACACCAGAAATGGGCTTCACATATTGTGGCCATGTGGGGAATCGAACCCGGGTCTTCGGCGTGACGAGCGAACTCTTTAACCACTAGGCTACCCCACAACCCCGGGATACGATGACACGTGTCAACCAAGTCAGCGTGCCTGACACCCGATCCCAATAATCGCGACTGAAGATCAATTCATATTATTATCATTTAATATGTAACACAGTTGTAGTTCACCAAGCAAGTCCTATAATCAGAAAGTCGGTACCTTCTAAGAGAAGTCATTTTAGACCTTTCTCTCATGGTCGCTGACAATCAGGTGAAATCAAACTGCTCCAAAACAATACTCAACAGCCGAGAGGAAGCTGTTAAAAGTTTATTTTTATTACGCGTGGTTTGCCAATATAAAACTCCAGATTTTCATCTTCATTCAAGCTGCGCACAGTTTCAAGCTGATTGTGCCAATACTCGCTATCGAATGGGCGCTACTTCAGACTATAGAACCCAACAACTGAGCCAGTCGTACAGTTGCTGTTCTCGACGTTACCAATGACCACCCGTTCCCCAGTGGTCAGTGTACTAACAACTGGCGCACCAGGGTGACCCTGAAAATAAGTATCACTCCATCAGTTCTTTTACACACATAGATATAAACATGGTGGGACACCTAATTTTATTTAAATTTCAGATTCAAAGTACCTGATTTACCAATACATCGCAAAAACACACACCAAAACAATCGTCCAAGTGCCACCTTTGGGAAAGAATACGTTCACCTTTGAGCAAACACCTGGTATTGTCAGCCTGACAGTCGGAATCATATATTTGACACAGCATGTGACCCAATTCTCTTCCCACAGAGGTTACTTGCCATATCTTCCTACGAAAGATATGACATGTAACCTCTGTGGGAAGAGAATGCACGTGACTCCAGAAGGTTTGTATTGTAACATGGAAAGGGTTTTGCAGCTTCGGGACGCCGCTTCTATTCATAATAATTATTACGAAAACAGTTTTGATTTGATTTAAAGCAAATCTATTTGCATAACTACCACCATTTTGAAATCTATCCTTGGTGGTACCGCCACTAGGATATTGTTTAGATCGGCTTAAACGCTCTTTCATTATATAACATGTTGTTTGCTTCAGGCCACCCGATAGGCCACCCGACAACCTGTCAACAATGAACGATGAATGATAAATATAGTGAATAGTGACAACAGTGAATAGTGAATGTAATATATGTTAGTCAGGAGCATTATCGCCAGAACACAACGTCAGCAATCAAACCCATTCAACCACTGTGGCTTCTAGAAAATCTGATAACTGGTAGTCTAGACCTGACTCTGAGGGTGTGGGTTCGAATCCCGGATAGGACCCAACCCAATGAAGTACTAGAATCAGTTCTTTACTGAGAGAGTGTAATCATAAATACAACATATGCTACTGTCAATAGCGACGGAATAAGCGTCACAACGAACTTATTCAGTCGACAGCCTATATGTTCAAATATGAACTACCTGAATCCGCAAACAGAATATAATTACAACTCTGTCAAGCCGAATCACGGATGTCATCTCACGTGTAAGGTAAAACGCAAAACAGCAATTGTATTACCTCACAGGAAGATCCACTCGAAGAGACGAAACAGTTGTTCGTGGAACCGGTGTCCAAGACATCGCTTTCTGACGTAGGCTAAATCAACGCCGTACAGTCGTCTAGTGCCTGGAGACTCCGAATAGGCAGAGACTCAAAGTTACTTCCTCCGTTCTGGCCTGCAATAGCAATACTAACACAGTCAACCCTCTACTCTGTACATCAAGACGCTCGAAGCGAGATCCATCAATCTTGTCTAGAACAAGAACACTACCACAGTCAACCCTCTACTCTGTACATGAAGAGGCTCGAAGCGAGATCCATCAATCTTGTCTAGAACAAGAACACTAACACAGTCAACCCTCTACTCTGTACATCAAGACACTCGAAGCGAGATCCATCAATCTTGTCTAGAACAAGAACACTAACACAGTCAACCCTCTACTCTGTACATGAAGAGGCTCGAAGCGAGATCCATCAATCTTGTCTAGAACAAGAACACTAGCACAGTCAACCCTCTACTCTGTACATGAAGAGGCTCGAAGCGAGATCCATCAATCCTGTCTAGAACTAGAGCACTAACACAGTCAACCCTCTACTCTGTATATCAGACACTCGAAGCGAGATCCATCAATCCTGTCTAGAACAAGAACACTAACACAGTCAACCCTCTACTCTGTATATCAAGACACTCGAAGCGAGATCCATCAATCTTGTCTAGAACAAGAACACAAACACAGTCAAACCTCTACTCTGTATATCAAGACACTCGAAGCGAGATCCATCAATCCTGTCTAGAACAAGAACACTAACACAGTCAACCCTCTACTCTGTATATCAAGACGCTCGAAGCGAGATCCATCAATCTTGTCTAGAACTAGAGCACTAACACAGTCAACCCTCTACTCCTCGAAGCGAGATCCATCAATATCAAGAACAAGAACACTAACACAGTCGAAGCGAGATCCATCAATCCTGTCTAGAACTAGAGCACTAACACAGTCAACCCTCTACTCTGTATATCAAGACACTCGAAGCGAGATCCATCAATCTTGTCTAGACCAAGAACACTAGAATAGTCAAACCTCTACTCTGTACATCAGGACACTCGGAGCGAGAACAGTCAATCCTGTCTAGACCAAGAACACTGTTGAGAGTGACCAGTTGAAATTCTGACGGTCGGGGCAGAGAAAACTAGGATTGCCCCAGAGAGAGGTCGCGTTACCTGTTCGTACCAACACACCTCGTCTGTCATACAGGCAAATGGAGACAAATCTATCAAAGAATACCTATGCAAGTCCAGAATGTGTGGCAAGTCTAGATAACCACAGTTTCAGAAAATGAAGAAAGTCTCTGGGCTCCTTTATATTTTATGTATAATATTTTTTATGATTATAATTTAGGGACTGTTGTTTCTGTGAAATATAGATATTTCAGAGATTAGATGTTAGTCTACATCATCCCCCAAACACCCCCACGCCATTCCTTAGCTAGAAATACTAAAAATATGGTTACCTAACAAGAACCGTTATTAATGGGTTAACATCCTGCTAAATCCAGACCCTCTTAAAAGACACTAAAGTACTGTCGGAAATGCTAGAAAAATGCTTTTTAGCCTTAATATCTTTATAAAAGTGATAAGTGTACTATGTTGTCAATATATCAACTCGTCTATTGTCTACCTAATTTTTATTTCAACCGATTTAACATTCCCATGCATTTAAAGGGCAGTTTACAGGAAAGAATTTGGTACCAAAACAGCAACTTAAGATTTTTTCAGATTTCAACAACAGAAATCTGAAATAGTCTTTACATTTATGCTAATAATACAGGTGGTGTAAAAATATGAATTAACGTGTTTCTTAAACAAATAAATGTTGAATGTTTGTGTTACTTTACTTAATTATCGTTTCTTTATTGAAGAAATATAATATAAATGTTAAGTCTTGATAAATAAGTTTCCCGTCATGCATGCACATCTTTATCACAACGTCCACTATGGCCAACGATTTGCAGTCGATTGTTGCAAAGGTTTATAGTTTTTTTCTGCTTAAAAAAGACAGAGGTAAACCTTTCATTAGTTTAGAAAGGGTTTATTACAGAACTTGTACAGCTGTTGGCATGTCTTACCAACAAGTTTAAAATATTGTAAACAAATCATACAAGACAGGGACCGTCTCAAATGCAAAACCGGGACGTAAAACCATCCTTGACAACTTCGACAAGGGAGTGCTTAGACGGGCGGTCTACAAACTTTATGAGAAGAAAAATATATATATTCTAAAGAAGCTACACCAGTGACTTCGTTAAATCTTTGGCCAATGTTCACAACTAGATTAAACTGTTCGAATTACATCCATATTTTTTCAATGAAATATACTGTTGACATGCAAAACATTTATTAAAACGTTGCACATTTCTACAATCAATCGATAAGATAACACAAGTGATAGGATTCTTTCCAATGTACAGTAATTCGCATGGGTATTTCAAAACAAAACACACATACACGACTTTAGTCGAGAAATGGTGACCAGTAACTCACCTGCAGGATTGGAACTCCATCCTGCAGCAACTTGGCACAGGTCCAAGAGAATATTACTAGTCAGTCCAGGGCTGTGGACACAAGCTACCCCCGGACAATTACTGGCATCAATGGGCGGATCTAAAGTAACAGTGACGGACCCTCCAACAGTGGTAGACGACGGGACTGAAATTCGAAATATACATTAGCTTGTAAGATTCCATCCTCAGGTGGTGTAAGCCCTGATGGTTGAAAAACGAATATGTACATACACCCGATACACCAGAAGCAAAATGTGTGGTGCCACCCTGGGCAAGTGATTTTATTCGGCTGCAGGAAACGGGTACCCGATATATGAGGTGGATGGGTACCCGATATACTAGGTGGATGGGTACCTGATATACGAGGTGGATTAGTACCCGATATACGAGGTGGATGGGTAGCCGATATATGAGTTGGATGGGTACCCGATATACGACGTGGATGGGTAGCCGATATATGAGGTGGATGGGTAGCCGATATACTAGGTGGATTGGTACCTGATATACGAGGTGGATTGGTACCCGATATACGAGGTGGATGGGTACCCGATATACAATATATAAGAAGGTGGAAGGTGGAT